AGAACTTGAGTTTGATTAGGCTGAACTTTCTCAAGACATAGACTGCTATGACTGCAAAGAGACCTGCCTCTCTAGCTTTGATACACATGTTATTAAGAAGAAATGAATGCATATATTGTGTAATGCTTAGGATTTCCTCCGGAAAAAGCCTTGATACATATAAGGCATTGGATTAAAAACCAAGTTGTTAATATTTCATGATGAGGAGAGTTGCATGATCTTTTCCTGTGTCCTTCATGTTGAACTCTGATCAGAACAAAGAAATCTGAATTGGAATATGAATCTAGCCAACATAAATGTAGAATTATTTGTAACAATGCTATAATAAATGTAATCTTATAGCAGTTAACCCACTGTAGATAGCTGATATCCTGTGAGAGAACATCCCCACTGATTTTCAAGAGCTATATATATGTCTCAAGTTTCGAGATACGCAAGAACTAAAATTGATCAACACCTACATGCACATATGGCAGTAAAACTCAATGGAAATCAAGTAGGTAAGAGGGGGAGGAGATGGGTGAATTCACACCTAACAGGTACAATGCACAGTGTCTGGATGAGGGTCACACTTATAACTTGGACTCAAATTGTACAAAAGCAAATCACATAACAAAAACATGTATATACACATAACACTCTGAAATAAATTTAAAAAAAAGAAGATTTAAGAAAAATTTATGGGAGGTGAGAGTATATAGTTCAGAAAAAATGCCAATAAGGAGAAGGTTTTTCCTCAGAGATATACCAATTCCTGGCAGAGCAAACATTCTTCTTAGAGTTAAAAGTTTAATTGTCCTTAAAATAGATGATAAAACCAACAGTATTCTCATTATGTTTTACAATAATGAGGTGACTAATAGCTTAGAGAAAAAATAAAATCAGAAGTGATGTTGATAATTTGGACTAGCTAAAGAAATATAAGTATGATAAAATTTGTGAAGGTAATTCTACAATTACGGTTAGAAGTTGAGCAATTAATTGACATAGAATGGAATGCAATGGACTTTGTGTATGTGTAACTACACAAAAACATGCATCAGAACTTAGGTAGGAAAGTATGATACTAACCATTATATAGAAAACAGTGTAATGGACCTTTGATTATTATTTTTCTTCTAATCTGCATTGACCAATCTAATAAGAAGACCATATTTTTAGTTACTGTAGTTTCAGCAAAAAATACAGAGACAAGGTTTAAGACCCACATCTGAGGGATGTGGTGAGCATTGTGGAGGGGAAGGGCATCTAACCCTTGCTGGAGAGAGGCGAATATATAAAATGTAACCAAAATGTTTGTACTCTCATATTTCCTTGAAACAAATAAATAAATAAAACTTTCCCCCAATTAAGCTTCCAAAGTAGAAATATTAAAGTAAGCATTCACAATTTTTTTAAATCTGTTTTTTTCAAAAATAAAATATAAAATGAAAAAATTCTTAATTAATATCTTATAGAAAGGAACACTATAGGTGTTTGCTCCATTTCACTAAATATTTATATTAAAAAATGGACCGTAAACAAAGTAATAGGAATTTTCACATGTAGAGTGGAAAGAACATGTTAAAATAACCTTTGAGCTGATTTCATACACATCACATAATAGCATCCTTAAGGTATTTCATTATGATGGTTAATAACATGATTTTAATGTTTTAAATGTCTGCCTATATTTCCACTTATTCTCAATATGCTTTTTCATGATTGCTTGCTTCTTATTTCCTTTTTCTTCCTTATTCCACTTTTCTTTCTTTTTTTCCAGATGCAGAGTGACTCTATACTCCATTCTATAAGGACTTGATAGGTTAAGGGAACAGCATTGAGCTTCCATCATATTATCTTGAAAACCATGTTATTGGAAACTGAAATTGTCTAATAACTTATATTACATGTCTAAAATATTCAACAAAAATCTAAATAAGCTCACCCCAGGTAAAACATGCCGAAAAAGTGTTTATAATTAGCTGAGAAGAAATACATTTAAACATATCCAATAGTCTGTATTTTACAATTTATGCTACAAGAGCTACAGGTTAAAAACTGCTTTTGTATCCAATTTAAAAGCATGAATGTTCTTCTTTTTACCCTAGAGCTTAAAGACAATTTACAGAAGTAGGCCAGTATGAAGTATTGCCACAATAAACTGTTGTTTTACTTCCCCTTTGTAGCAAAAATTAGGAAAAAAACTGCAATGCTATTGAGTCATAAAATATGTTAGCAATAAAACAAACACAAGCTATCAGGTTTATTTAATTCCTACTGTTGCTATCATTACTCAGATACCTCTTTAAAGTCTTTCATATATTTGAAAGAAAATTATTTTGAAAAAAACTGTCAAATTTGGAATAACAGATTTTTTTCCAAAATGCTTAGTGTTGGACAAAGCTATCCTTCATAAAACAAAATATGAGGAAGTTCTTTTACTTGTTTCATACAGAAAATGTGACTTGAAAATAATTTTATTTCAAAAAAGTTAATCTCAATGGACATGCTGTGACAATATATTTGGCATATTTTTAAAACAACAATTTTTTTTATTTGACATCATCAGGTCATGGTGGATTATATGTGGTAAATCTATGTTAAGTAATTAAATATATTGAAACAAAATGATCATTACACTTTTCTCAATTCAAGATGCACAGTTGTTGAAACACCAAAAACTAAAACTTTTTTATTATCTTTTTATTCTAATATATAATACTTTTCCTATTTTGAACACTAATATTTAAAATAAATATAGGTATGCAAAGATGTTTGTAATTGTTTCAAATTATAGGAGTTGTAATTAGTGATAATGACACAAAAAGTAAATAAAAGTAAAAGAGTATCTATCTTATCAATTTTGGCAATTGTTTTAATATTATTAAAATGATATTCAAATGGTTCCTCAAATGGCAAATTAATATTCTATTCACTTGTTTCTAATTACCAAATACATCAATGCATATAATTTACTAATAAATATGCAAAGAATATATGGAAACTTTATATTACATATCACCTGCTGTTCTTTAAAGAAGGAATTATCCCCAAATATATGACACTCTGTATTGACCTTATTTTGCAAATGTGTGGCATCAGAAATTATTTCTGAATTTTTCTGGAGAATTAAATAATATGACAGAAGTTCTCAAGTCTATCATATGGGATCAAGGTCGGGAGCACACACTGTAAAGGAGCTCACAACTGTCTCAACAGGTATGAAGAGTGACCCATTGGAATAGGATAAGACTTCACCAGATTAAAAGGAGGAAGGGAAGGCTGGCAGGCTTACAGTAACTCTGGCTTCCTCAGAAGTTCTCAAATCCATCAATAAAAGTCAAGACAGAGTACACACACTCATAAGTAAGATTTCTTTTCCTGCAATGAGTCAAGAGAGAACCAGTGGCCTATTGATATGACACATCTCTCAGGCTTTATAATTCCATAATTCAAGGGCACCTGGGACACCCATGATTCCTAACTCACTGCGACTAACTGCCTTGAATACAACAGTACTAACCTTATCATGCCCATTGTCCCCATTTGAGTCATCTATCACAAGAAAATCCAGAGTCCTTTGTCACCTCTAAGATCTCACAATATCATCCACATTCGGTGTTCTATATTCTCTGTTTCAGTAGTTCTCATTCTTTTTTTCTCTCCAGAAACCTTTACAAGCTTACTTTTAAGAATTTCTATTCATTCACTATCTGGAATACTTCTACAAACACAATTTTCCTTCGTTGACTATTTCATTACCCTAAAGCACAGCACATGTAGGAAAAATTGAAATGCACGTTTATTTCCCTATATTTACTGATTGTCAAAATAATTAATTGATTGCCTTTGGTTTTTCCAAAGGGAGCCAATAAATTTTCTTTTCAAATAATATTTAGAGCTCATAGTTTTCATATATTTGATGCACTCTAATCCATTGCTCTTGCAATTCCTTTTGATGCTCAAATTGCCTCATCTGTGTCCAGTGAGATACTCTTTAAATGAGCTTCTGAGTCCTATGATCATGACCCTAGTAGGCATCCATCGTTTTTATTCTTTCTCTACTGGAATCAGCCACTTCACCATGAAGATCTGATTAATTTCACTGAGAAATGTCAATCAAAAAGGCATTCTGGATATGAGGTATACTCATAATGATTGGATTGGTCATTATTTCTAGGCCTCTTCACTGGCCAGAACTAGGAAATTCATGCGTACATATGTGTTTGTGTATGTGTGTATGATTATTAATTTTTTATTTGATTTCTAATAAAATGTAATATATACACACACATATATATATATATATACATACAGACACATGGAATACTGTATGTTTCATAAATGTAGAAGAATTTTCACACTGAACACATTTGTGAGCCAACATCCAGATCAAGAAACTGAACTTTATCATTCTCCCATAAGCCCTCTTTTGCTCTGTCAATCCCTATCCATGCTAATTGACAACTATTCTGATTCTAATAGAAAGATTAGTTTTGCCTGTTTCCATCCATTATAAACATGGATGTGTACAGTATTTACTTTTTACCTTATAGGTCATTCATCTTTACATTAATATGCGCAAGATTAGACCAATTATGTTGTTTGTTGTGCAGATATAATATATATTTGCTGAATTTTTGTTTGTTTGTTCTAGCAGTTTTTGATAGAGAAGTATATTAAAGTAGGACATGCTAACAGCTATTTTGGCTATAAGTATTTAAAATTATATATAATTAATTTAAAAAATTATAATTATATATTCTATCATATCATTGCATTAAAATATGCATATGTTCTATATTTACATATTATATATTTGTTAAATAAATTATTATACAGTCGTTCACCCATAGTGGCATTTTGGTCAATGACAGACCACCATATGATGATGGTTGCATAAGATTATAATGGAGCTATGGAAAAAATTCCTATTGCCTAGTGACATTATAGATGTCATAATATCATAGTGCAACACATTGCTCACATGTTTGTGGTTATGATTGTGCAAACAAACCTACCTTATCATCATTATATGACTGTACTGCCAGTCATATAATAGTGTATGGTAATATTCTGGGACTTTATATTCACTCACCACTCAATCACTGACTTACCCAGAGCCATTTTGAAAGCTCCATTCATGGTAAGTACCCTATAGAGTTGTACAAATTTTTATGTTTTATACAGTATTTTACTGTACTTTTTCTATCTTTATATATGTTTAGAATCACGAATACCATTTTGCTACTATTGCCCACAGTATTCAGTGCAGTAACATGCTGTACAGATACAGCCTTGGAGCCACATGTGGCCTTTGGGATCTTTGAGTGTGGGCTTTTGACTGAATACAGATTTTTTTAACAAATAAACAATTTTTGAACAAATAAAGAATTTGTTCTGTGAAGTTTGAAGTTAGTAGAAGGGCCACACTTGAGGATCTGGAGGGCTACATGTGGCTTTGAGGCTGCAGGTTCCCCATCCCTGGTAGGCTTGTGTAAGTACACTCTATGATATTTGCACAATGAGGAAAGTGCCTAAGGATACATTTCTCAGAACATATTTCTGACTTTAAGCAACTTTTATTGCAAAAGCCCCTGAACAATAGGCTAATAGTCAAGGGAGTTGATGAATCATCCACAATCCTAGTAGTATCCACAGGAACCTGATAATGTTGAGTATTAGAGCACTCTGCTTAAAAATCAATTCATCAGGATTTCAGACACTACCTCCCTCAGCTACTTAAGTCCACACACCAAGTAAGGCAGTATGATAATACATGCACCCAGTCCCAGGAAGAGATCATATCCGCTTGCACATTCTCTAGGTAGTGATCATGATGAAAAGGCTAAGAGTAATATAAACTTATTTTGAAAATTTGGAATTCTTCCCTGACTGTTGCTGGGCATGATGTTTCTTTTTTCTCCTAACAGCATCCCTAAGCCAGTCTAACCGGTGCAACCACAGAGTGGCTACTCAGCCAAAAGAGGCTTAGCAAATTCTACTACCAGTAGTTCCCATTGCTCTCCTAGCAAATTACCACAAACTTAATACCTTAAGATAAAACCATGTTTTTGTCTCATATGTCCGAAGGTCTGAGGCCTAAATAGGTCTCACAGGCTACAATCAAGACGTTGGCAAAACTGTGCTCCTTTGTGGAGGTATTAAGGGAAAACCCATTTATTTGCCTTTTCCAGATTCTACAGGTTGCCTGCATTCTTTGACTCTTGATTCCTTTCTCCATCTTCAAAGGCAGCAGTATCACATCTTCAAACCTGTCTCAGACTCTGACTTTCTTGCTTCCCTTTTTCCCTTGTAAAGATCTATTTGATTACAGGGGACCCATCTACATTATCCACTATAAGCTTCTCATCTCAAGATCCTTAAGTTAACCACATCTGCAAAGTTACCTTTCCCCCTTTGTCCTGTAAGACAATGTGTTCACAAGTTCTGGTGATTAGAATATAGACATCTTGGAATGGGGCGATACAGGGTATTATTCTGCCTACCAAAGGATTAAAGCAATTCTGTTTTAGCTAACTATAATCTCTGGTTAAATGTACATGGTACTAGATCAGAGGCTAGAAAATTTTTCTGTAAAGTGCCCAGTAGGATTAGAAATATTCACAATGAATATGTATTCTAAACATATACAATATTCAACTTTAAAAATACAAATATAAATGAGATAACGTTCCAATGTTCACTAACATTGGAACATTTAAATACATATGCATATATTCATATTGAAATACTTGGTTTTATATTTGTCATCCTTATCCATTATTGATGGATGTGTTGTTACAATATTTATTGCTGGAAATAAAGCCATGTATTTTCATAGTTTAAAGTATTAATACTCTTATAGTGAGTATTATCACTCTTATCATTCTTATTATAGAATACTTATAAATGGAATAAATTAGGAAATATTATCTAATGTGACTTCTAAGAGAATGGTGCAATATAGAATTTTCATCATGCACACAATATTGTAAAAAATTTTTATGAAAATTAAATTTTAGAAAATGTTAACAATAAAATTTGTGTGGTAGTAGCACAAGTTATCTTAATTACTTTTCTACATCTATGCATTTTTCTAAATTTTCTATAAAGATTATTAAAATAAAAATAATACAGGCTATTTAAAATATATTCTTATTCATGGTCACTCTTTGTGTTACCAATTTACGACAATTAAATTTAGCATATTTACATGGGAAATATTACACAGGGACTAGTATTTTTTAATAACTGATTTAATACAAAGACATTTATCTTTAATTAAATTACACTGATATATATAAATAGATGTTATTTTACCTTTATTTTTACTTCCTCTTCTTTCCTGAATGCTATTTCTATTACTTTACACTGGATTTGCACCTCAGAAGTCATCATTAGCCGGACGCGGTGGCTCACGCCTGTAATCCTAGCTCTCTGGGAGGCTGAGGCGGGCGGATTGCTCGAGGTCAGGAGTTCGAAACCAGCCTGAGCAAGAGTGAGACCCCGTCTCTACTATAAATAGAAAGAAATTAATTGGCCAAAATAATATAGAAAAATTAGCTGGGCATGGTGGCCATGCCTGTAGTCCCAGCCACTTGGGAGGCTGAGGCAGAAGGATTGCTTGAGCCCAGGAGTTTGAGGTTGCTGTGAGCTAGGCTGACACCACAGCACTCATTCTAGCCTAGGACACAAACAAGATCTGTCTCAAAAAAAAAAAAAGTCATCATTAGATTTAAGCAGAGTGGTCCAATATGGCTGACCTTGTTCATAAGGAGAAATCTGGAGCTAAAATTTCAGCAAAGGGGAAGATACTGGTGAGTGGATAAAAACTTGTAATATTGTCCATAGTGTGGCTGGGCTTGGAAAAGACAGATAATTTAGATGCTGTCATATTTAATAGCATAGTATTAAAGAATGAGATATAAACTCAGGTGAAAGCATTTTTTGAAATATGTACCAATTCCATACATTTTTTTCCATTTCTATTGCTGACCAGCTAGCCTACATCATGATAAATTTTTTTCCTGACTTCTACCTAGTTGTATTTGTTACTATGAACTATATATCATTCTATACACAGCAGCCACAAAAATATTTTTAAAACCTAAATAATAGTATCCCCTCTCCACACCACCCCAGTTTAACAGTGTCTATGGCTTCCCATTAAATGTGAAAAGTAATATTATTTTTAATATTTCAAGCATATTTCTTTATTATCTCTTTTGATTTTCACATCAGCTTATAAATAGCTCAGCAAAATGTTATTATTATTTCTACTTTACTTGGAAAATTAAAGCATAAGGAGGTCATAAGTTGCTCAAGGTCAACGAAATCCATGAACGAGAAACACTAAGAGAGAGAATAGTGCTATGGCTGTTCAATCTGATATCTAAGGGTTTGAATCTCAGTTCCTCCAATTAAAAACTCTGCTTTCAGGCATGATCTATAACCGCAATTTAGAATAATATTCTGAAAAGTTTCGTATTCTTTATGATGGCTCAAAGACCCTATAATAATGTTTCTTAATATTGGTTAACATTAGACACTTTCTAGAGAGTATTTTAAAAACAATACTCAGGCCACATTCCCAAATATTTGTATTTAATGTCTTTGAAATCAGACTCAGGTATTAACATTAAATAGTGTTCCAGAAGCTCTGCTTTCCATAATTTGCTCCTGACCACTACTTCACTCATGTACTGTCTGGTCCTCTTGCTCACTTCTCTCCCAACACAAATGGCTCTTTCTGTAGCTCATGCCTGATTTAGGCATTGGTACTTACTGTTCTTCTGCTGGGAATATCTTACCAAGATTTCATAGGGCTTCTTGCCAATTAGATATTAGCTCAAGTGTCTGTTTTCAAAATGGATGCTATTACCTCCAATAAATACTACCTCCCCCATTCCTATCTGTGATGTCAGCCATTTCTTTTCAGTACCAGGGGATATTGTAAAAATAATAACAGAGGCTTATTGCCATGTTTAGTTTTGTAGTCACAGTTCCTTGAGCAGTTTCCCACACACAATAGGTGTTAGTCAATACTTATTAAAAGAGTGAACGAGGATGAACCAGAGTAAAAGAATTTAGGCAAATGAAATTATCTCACTTGGGATACATAACATGGAACAAACTCACTGAGTAGTAATATCAGTGAATGATAATAACTAATAGAAGATTTTATTTCCAAAGAAGGTGGTAACAAAACTCCCTTCCACTGTGCTCTTCTACGCGTGTGACCGTTGCACTCTCACATCAAAAAGTAGAATCCATTCGCAACCCTTTGATTCTGGTTCAACTGTGTGATTGCTGTGCAAGGTACAACTTAGTATAACCAGGCGGAAAGATTCTGTTTTCTGCCTCTTGAAAGCTAATTACCAGGCAAAGAGAGTAAAACTACCCCAAGACCACCAGCCTAAGAGTAAAAGCTGCATAGAAATGCCCAGAGTGGGTAGTACATGGAAACAGGGAATAAAAAAGGTTAAAGGGCACCAAGATGCCAGATATGTGACTGAAGAAGGAATTTAGGGCTTCTGTCCACCCCCTGGTGCCTAGTTGATGCCATGTATTTTAGAGTCATCCCACAAACAGACTTTTTGCAAATTCCTAACACACAAAATCATGCAAATATAAATGTTTGTTTTAGCTGTTAATTATAAAGGAGTTCTGTGAGAGTATTGTTATATAACACTGATAAGCAAAACATTAACTAAATTAATAGTATCATGTGCTAAATATTTTATATGGATTAAATCATTTATTCTTTTCAACCATCTTAAGGTTAGGTACTATAATTTCCACTTATCACACAAGTCCTGAGTCCTGAAACTCAGGACTAGAATTTGGGATCTGACTCCCTACCACACTCTTAATTTACATTTAAGAGGACAGCTGCTAAGAAACATGGGCAAGAACATGTCTAGTAATAGTGCCAAATGTTTTGATGACTATTTGACATTTATCCCCAAATTTCAATAGTGTTGAAACCACAAACAGCTAATGCACTTCTACAGCTCTTGCGACAAGCAAAAGGAAGCAATGTAAAAGAATAAGGAGAAACGTGAAGGGGAATGGAAAATTAGGGTAAGTGGCTTTTAGTCTCCATCTTGCAAAACAACAGCCATTTATTAGGGACACTTACAA